GTTAACCTTGTGTATTTTGGGAAGAAAATACAATCGACCAGGCTTGGCGTTTTCTGGTTTTAAATATCCTATTGTATCTTCATCTATGTGACCGTCATTGTGCTTGGTTTGTAACGCAGTAATATTTTTGGAACAAAACTCAGAAGTAGGGTCAAGGTCAAGCTTTTTATAAAACCTTTTATCAGAGAGCTGACGTTCTGCTTCCGCGATGTAGTTAGCTTTGTTCATTATCACAACGGCACTTCTCTTCTCTGCTGGTTTTATCTCAATATCATCTCGGTTTCTCATCAATTTTATGACTTTTTTCCCGTCAGAAGAGGTGTTATAAAACGACGAGTACTTGTTGCTAGCTTGATGAACAACATCCGATTTGATCTTGTCGATAACTTCTTCCAGTGTAGCAGATTTGCTTGGTTTTGAAATCCATTAACTCTTCTTTTTAAAGCACGGAATTCTGGTTTCTTCCTACGAGTCAGAATTGTCGAGTCTTCCTCATTATCATACTCATTCATTATCCGTGTCACCAAAATTTTCTTTAATTCTGAGGGTTCTTGCAAAAGTATTCAGGTCATCCTCCAGTTTTATATTATATATGTTACTGGGCGTAGGGCAAAAATTCAAACCCTTAGATAAAACTTTACTATCATCCTCAGTTAAAGAGACTGTTGATATATACATATATCAATGTTTGCATAAAAATTACGAAGAAATTTCAGCCAGGCCAGACGAACATTTCTCGACCTAATTATAAAGCCCTTCTATTATAAGTTATTATTGTATGACGTGCTGTTTTCGCTTTGTTAGCAATGTCATTACATTCACGATACATCTATATCTAGGACAGAAACACAGTTGCACATGTTCATTGCTATTTAAGTTTACAATCATCGTTATCCACATGTAGCGCACCGCTATCTTCAAATCCTTAGTACGAAGTATATATATTTCCAATCGATTCTGATGCATATTTTAAGATGTTATGTCATAAAGGACAATACCGAACTACTGATTGTCAACAATCACCATTTCAATTGATTTACAAACAAATTACCATTCTAAATAAAGTATTACTCATTGAAATACAACTGGCAAATCAAAAACATGTCGTTAACGTTAATCGAAATCTGACTTTTCTATAAGAATAAAAATAATTGATGGAATCAATATGTTTGTTGTCATTTTCACATGCCAAACTTTCCAGCAAATCTATGGTTTGCATGAGTTATTCTTTAATCATTATGAAGCATTCTTGATGATGATAAATAAGGGAAATCGGTTTGAGAGTAAGCAAGTTATAAAATGTCGTTTTCCTTTTTACCCAGCACTGGGTCGATACCTCTGCTGCTTGATTATCATTTCCCAGATGCCGTCACCAGCTCAGTATTCATTTCAGTATTCATTTCATCGGTATTGACATGATTTAAAACAATCCTATCCTGAATTGACGTCTTTTTATAAATTTAAAATTATGAGAAAACTTATGGTTTAACTCTATCTGCATATTCAGGCAAAGTACACTTTAGATGGGATTCTGATATTATTTGTAGGTTCTTTATGGTCATATACTGCTCTTTAACTGTTTTGATTTTTATACGACGGTTTACGGGACGTTTTATGGTATACCGTTGTTCGTCCGTCCGTCTGTCCGTCCGTCGTCAACATATCGGACAGTAACTCAAAAACTCTTTAACCAATATGCATGAAATTTTGGTGAATTGGTTAAATCTATTGACGTGAGCTCCCATTCGATTTTGATAAATTGTAGATTTTACGTTTTCCGAGCTATGAGGTTTTAGACATTAAAACAGGGGGATATTCCAGTTTTTGGACAATAGGTCTAAAACACTTTCACCAATTTGCAAGAAACTTTGGTGAATTGTTTATATCTATTGATGTGAGCTCCCTTTTAATTTTTGTATATTTGAAGTTTTACGTTTCCGACTTATAGGGTTTTATTCATTACAAAAAGGGGGATTTTCAAGTTTTCGGACAATAACTCAAAAATGCTTTGAGCACTTTTCATGCAACTTAGGTGTATTGCTTATTTTTATTAATGTAAGCTCCCTTTCGATTTTTATAAATTTTAGATTTTACATTTCAGATTTATTGGATTTGTAGTCATAAAAAAGAGAGGATTTTCCAGTTTTCGACAATAACTCAAAAGCGCTTTGAGCAGTTTTCATGAAACTTTGGTGACTGGTTTATATCAATTAAAATAACCTCCCTTTAGTTATTTTTATAAATTTCTGACATGACATTGAGAAGTTATTGAACTTAATTCTATGAAAAAGTGACGGTCGTATCATGTGCTTAAGGCACAGCTGTTTATTATACATCCTTGGCTTTCAAACATTCGTGTTTGTGCGTTATTAGTTAGTATAAATCCTGACAACCGTTTCGGGCACTTTGAAACTATATAGTATTTTTTTCATGCTCATATCAAGATCAGGGAAAATAATAAAAGCACTAAACCATCACTAGAATAGTTTTGACTGTGTGTTTCATTTGATGTTATTTTACTTACACTATAACTTATACCACAGTTTTCAGGTCTCGCCTAGACTTGCAGTTCTCTTTTTTCATACACGCGTAGTCATTTTTTCTTTTATGTCGTGACGAATACCGACATCAAAAGTCATTAGCAAAATTAGTTTTAATACTCAAAAATAAAATGGGCAAAGACATATCATTTTGAGTAAGCATTCAAATAAGTTGCATAATAACTGAATGCCTTTTGAATGACTTTGTAAAAAAAATCGAATTTATAGTATTGCTATAAAGTTATGAATACTTACGGTCCTACATCATGTCAATACTTATATTTTGGCATTGCACAAAGTGTTGTTTTTACAGACAGTTTGTGCGAATGTTGTGCTTTTACACTACTGTTCAAGGTTAAGGAACGACGACAAACATGCTAAGGCCGCCACTGAATGAGCATGTTCCAAGTCACCAGCCGGCAACTAGTTGTTGTCGTTGGAGGCTGTCTTCGTTATTTGTACGTTTACTGTTATGTACAAACGTCGGGACGTTTGAATCGTGTTACATTGTGTTATTTTGTGCTTTTTAATGGCCAACTATACGGTTTTTTGGTATTGCTCTTTGTAAAAGATCATACGGTGAACTATAGTTGCATACATCTACGCTGTTTGATCTCTGGTGGACTGTTGTCGCTTGGGCAATCTTCACACATCTTCTTATTTTTTATTGAACCCTTCATTGAAGATAATGCTCACTATAATGAAACATTTACTTCCAATTAAAAAGTTATTGTGATTTGATTTGATTTTAGGTGTTTTAACGCCACTTTTAAGCACCGCTTTTGGGCTATTTCGTGGAGGCCAGTTTTTGTTGGTGGAGGAAGCCGGAGTACCCGGAAAAAGATATTGTGATATTTTCATTATCTTATATACTCAGTAAAATGGTTCGTACGGAATCAAAATGTTTCAACAAATGTTTTCATTATTTCTGATGAATCGTAGTCATTTCGTACTATAACCATTTCGTACTAGCCATTTCGTACCATAACAAAAACCATTTCGTACCATAACCTTTCGTACCATACGGAAGATTATAATATTTACCATTTCGTAACATATGGACAATTATAATGTATACCATTTCGTACCATTACAAAAATCATTTCGTACCATAACCTTTCGTACCATGACTTTTTCGTACCATATGGAAGATTATAATGCATACCATTTTGTACCATATGGAATATTATTATGTTTACAATTTCATACAAAATGTAAGATTGTAATGTTCAGCATTTCGTACCATTGTTTTCTATTTTTGAACATTTTGAAATTATACTGTATGTACTATAATTAAATACAACTAACATATAAAGTTTTTATTAATATAAAAATACGAAAAACGTTTAAAGTATTTCATCTTAAAACATAGTTACAAAAGATAATTTATTAACTTGTAAATGTTTTGACGTTTTAATTCAAAAAAAATAATATTCTATTTTTGTTTCTGTACAATTTTAACAATGAATAAGGAATAAGCATATACTTTTTATCAGAGCATAAATAATATCTCAGCCCTTGTTACTCATTGAATTTATTTAAGACCATCTTCAGAGAAAGGTATATCTATTGGTCATTAAAATTTCTCAAAAATTAAAAACCACAGCAAGTTCGTTGTTAGTCACACAAGGTGTAAATTCTTATGCAAATACACAAATTCGTGGCTTCTTTCATGAGTATTTTTAGCTTGTGGCTTTTTCTAACAAACATTTAAATAAATTGGGCATTTTTATCTTGCGAATTGTGAAAGTGAGACGCAGTGATCCTACATTCCTGCCTTGAGTAGTGTCCTCCACTAAAAGTTCAGTCTAAGCTAGGTTAAAGATTTTATTGCAAACCTCACTTACTTTGACAAAGATTTTAAGAAACTGTTTATGCCTCAAAATTTTAAAGAAACAATATCGGTCACAAGAGAATATGCAAAGAAATATTGAAAAAAACATGATTTTCACATTCAGTTCATTCTTTCACTCATTCTTAAGTACAAATGATGAATAAACATTTGATTTATAAAGAAAATGTTATAGTAACGAGTACCATTTAAGTAATAAAATCTTATTTAGTGACCAAACAAGACAAAATCAATTTTAGAACTGTGTTTTTGTTTTATGCAGTTTGACGATTTATCAAAACTGACATTAAATTTTTAGAACTACTAAATCGTAATAAGTAAACGAAATGAACATTCACATGTTTTCATATTCTTGCTTGTATAGCTTTTGTTGGTAGAAAGGTGCATCGGTCTGAACAAGTTTATAAATTTCATTGAAAAGTTTATGAATACATTATGATTGGTTCAAATAGAATGTTTTGGGTATTTTCATGTATAATTTTACATTTAAATTCCATTTAACTCAACAATCTATAAAGAAAGTAATTGTTAATCTTCACTGACCAGAAAAATATCAACCCGATGAAGCGATTATTGTTACGTTATTGTCTTAATTTTATATTTTTCAGATAATTCAGTGATAAGGAAGAGAAAAAGTAGAACTGAAATGTCAACAGAACTACTAGATAAAGGCAAGTGGCATTGATTTTCATAAAACCTATTGGATTAATATAACAAATTACATGTATTATACATACAGCGGATTGTAGTCATATTTAAATTCTTGGTCAACAATTTTGAAACATATTTGCCATCATCAGTGGTAAAAACTATCACATTAAAGCTTTTGTGTTAATTCAGTAAGCATGCCCCCTATACTTAATACGTGTTGTCAAACTATTGTCATTTATACCTTGCAGACAGTTTTAAAACTACAATTAACACAAGGTTTTTTTTATAAGAGGGGAGAATACCAGAGGGGCATTCAAACTCATATGTCGAACATAGATAGACAACGCCATGGCTAAAAATGAAAAAAGACCAATAGACAAACAATAGTACACATAACACAACTTAGAAAAATAAAGAGTGAGCAACATGAACCCCACTAAAATCTCGCGGTGATCTCAGGTGCTGCAGAAGGGTAAAAATATCCTGCTTCCACATGTGGCATCCGTCATGTTGCTCATATCATTACAAACCAGGTAATAAGTCTTTTTCGGTAGGACACATTCTGGAAACTTACCACTTAGGACTCTTGGTTTAATAGCCTCCTAGTAAGCAGCAATCCTCTATCAAGGAAATCATGATAGGAAATACAACCCCTGGAATATCATATCTATATATCGAATTTAATGTTCTTTCTGTTGTGCGAATATATAGAGTGTATGCTATAATTTAGTTTAAAACAAAATAATTTTGTATTTTTATCTCAATATTTGAATGGGGCATTAGTATCCAAGATCATCGCAAATACAAAAAAAAACCTGATGTTTTGATAGTATATACCTTTTCATTTTAATTTTCTAATCTTAGTATTATTCTGCCTTTTTATTGTCCTCTGTTCAATAATGATAGATGTATGCCTGATTCGCCAACCAAGGTTCGGAGGCATCCAAAGAAAGCACTGCAATACTTCAACAAGAGGAAAAAAATATTCATTTACTCAATAGGCCAAGTCAAAAGAAAATATTTACAAACAAGAATGTGTCCATAGTACACGGATGCCCCAATCGCTCTATCATTTTTATGTTCAGTGGACCGTGAATTGGGGTCAAAACTCTTATTTGGCATTACAATTAGAAAGATCATATCATAGGAAACATGTGTACTAAGTTTCAAGTTGATAGGACTTCAACTTCGTCAAAAACTACCTTGACCAAAAACTTTAACCTGAAGCGGGACGATCGAACGGACGCACAGACCAGAAAACGTAATGCCCATAAATGAGGCATAAAAAGTAAATAGGTCAAAAATGATTGACCATAAGAATTAACCTTTCATTTTTTTAAACATATTTGTGCTATTTTTACGGTACTGATCGACTACACTGAACCTTAAAGACTTTAGAATGTTTTATTAACGTAGTGTCGACAAATAGTAAGATACAGTTTTTGAAGTTGGACATACAAATATCTGCTTAGCACAGCAAGTTTTCATCAACGGAGTTTTCTTTGAAGTGACGATGGTTACAATTTTATGTTAGATGGAAAATTTGATGTAATCTTTCTGCAAAACAATGAGAACTCGAATAAAATAAACAGTCATGAAAATAGGCGATAATACACTTATTATTAAAATCAGCCTGTTGACACGTTTGTTCATACTTTATTGAATACACATAAAGTTACGATTGTCTTTGCCATGGCTGTTTCTTAAAAGGAAATATTGACTCAACATATGAATATTTCCTTTATAGATCAAGCAGCAAAAGCTTTGAAAAAATTGAAAATGTCAACTGAGGTGGAAACAGAAAAGGAGTTGACTAACACAGGTTAGAATATTTGACATCATCATAGATATTATTTTTTCTTCGTAAATGAATCAGCTATATATCTTCAAAAATTATTATCTTAACTTGAAGCATTGCGTTAAAAAGCAAATTATTGCAGATCTTTGTTAGTTTATGTTTGATTCATTTTGAATTTTGTTCAGACCCTAAGTGATTATACATTACAATTTTTTTTTAACACTTTTCCATTTTGAGATGTAGCAATAAACAACACATCTGCTTTTATTCATTGCCAAAACAATATGAAACTTTTAAAGAAAGTAAAAAGATTTTTTATATTTCAAATAGTGTTACATACCCTTTTTTTTAATAAAGAATTTTTATTTACTATGATTTGCATATAAACATTGATTGCGATAAAAAAAAAAAGGCAAACAACCTGTATTTGAATCAACACGTCCAATCAAACAATCAACAGTTAGTAAAAACGAAACTAGAGGCTCTCGAGAGCCTGTGTCGCTCACCTGTATCTATTGTGGTTTTGGAAATCATGTGAAATAAGGTGTAAATCATCATAAATAGTTTGAGATACCCTAATAATGATTGAGGACAAGTTTGTTTTAAGTAGTAAGTTCAGTAAGGGCCATATTTGGTCCCGATTATAAAGTTCAATGTTGCAAGATAGAAAAGTTGATTAAAAGACATGTGGAATAGAATTATTTCAGACAAAATTTGATTTGAAAGCGATGATCTTTACATCCTAAATATGTCAAAATAAGAAATTTGACAAATCGGCAGGATTCCAGCAAAATGTAGGACCAAGAAACATAGAGCGCAGGCGTCGACAAACTAAATATTCAAGTTAGACATTTAAATGTCATTACAAACATTATTTTCAAAGATCTTGTCGACGTATGCGCTCTATGTTTTCTGTCAAATAATCAATACAAATTTACACATTTTCACTGATTTTTCGTGGAAAATCAAAATGAGTACTATTTTTGATGTCATGAATAAAGCGCAGGAAGGTATATTTTCAACAGATAGGCTTATTTTCTAACTATTCAATGTATTAGCGTTCATTCATTGTGATAGTGGTTAATAAATCTTAACCAGAATTTAAGCAAAATAAGGGGGTCATTAAAGGCCTAATCGAACCTACTCCTTTGGCCAAGTGGATAAATGGCAAGCAGGTCATCCCACTAGTAACTAGTCTTACTGAAGACCCCTTATCATTATTTAAATTAGTTTTCAAGTTGTGACCATTTGAAATTGTTGTCTTTACAATTTTCCCTTAGACTGCTATAGTAAATATCTATGTTCTATTTTTAACCATGGCGGCCATGTTGGTTGGATGGCAGGGTCATGAGATACATTTTTCAATCAAGATATCGTATTGAAAATTGTTGTATAGTCTTGTTATATTTGGCTCAGTAGATGAAGAGGAGAAGATTTGTGTAAAAGTTTACAAAAAGTTACGGTTATTTTTTTAATTTACTAAAAAGAGCAATGACTCCTTAACGGGTCGATTGACAATTTTGGTCATTTGACTTATTTATAGATTGTACTTTGTTGAACATTATTGCTCTTTACAGTTTATCTCTAACTATAATAATGTTTAAGATAATAACCCAAAACTGCAAAATTGTCTTAAAATTACAAATTCAAGGGCAGCATCGGGTTGTCTGATTCGTCTGGAAATTTCAGGGCAGAAAGATCTAAACCTGATTAACATATTTATCCATGTCAGTTTTGCTCTTAATGCTTTAGTTTTAAAGATATATGCCAAAAACTGCATTTTACCCCTTTGATCTATGTTTAGCCATGTTGGGCATGTTGATAGGCAGACGGGGTCATTGGACACATTTCTTAAACTAAATACCCTAATGATGATTATGGCCAAGTTTGGTTAAATTTGTTATTGCAGTTTCAAAGGAGAAGATTTTTGTAAAAGATAACAAAACTTTCACAAAAAAATGTAGTTTTTTTATTAACTATATTAGCAAATGATTAGGTATAAAAAAGAAGTTGTGGTATAATTGCCAATGATACAACTCTCCACAAGAGACCAAATGACACAGAAATGAACAACTATAAGTCACCATACGGCCTTCAACAATGAGCAAAGCCCATACCGCATAGTCAGCTATAAAAGGCCCCGAAATGGCAAATGTAAAACAATTCAAACGAGAAAACTAACAGCTTAATTTATGTACAAAAAATGAACGAAAAACAAATATGTAACACATCAACAAACGACAACCACTGAATAACTGGTTCTTGACTTGGGACAGGCACATACGTACATAATGTGGCGGGGTTAAACATGTTAGCGGAATCCCAACCATCCCCCTAACCTGGGACAGTAGTGTAACATTACAACAAAAGAACGAACTATAAAAATCAGTTAAAAAAGGCTTAACTCATCAAATGGATACAAATAGAAATACTACTGCCGGGTACTTGACATGTATATCCCAACAACAAAAAGACAATGAGTGCAAATCTGATAGAACTCACAGTAACTGTCAGCTCGTTCAAAGCAACTAACAACTAAAGGTGTCAGTTGACAATTTTGGTCATGTTGAATTATTTGTAGATTTTACTTTCCTGAACATTATTGCTCTTTACAGTTAATCTCTATCTATAATAATAATCAAGATAAGAACCAAAACCTGCAAAATTTCAATCTAATGTTCAGCGGGTTTTCTGATTCGTCTAAAAATTTCAGAGCAGATATAGTACTGCAACCAGAGTTCATTTTTGAAAACTTTGATATACCGCAAGAACACACATTTAAAATATATATCGATGGAAAGAGAACACGTGTACAATAAGAAAAGTCGTAAAAACCCAGAGTTGTAATATTTTTGTGAATCGGGGTCAAAGTTCAGGCCAAAAAATTTCAATATGTCAACCACAAGGAAAAAAAGGAGAAATTTCTGATATTTATTCATTAGAATGCTACAAAAACTGTTTAATCACAAGCAAATGCTACAAAGGATGTCAAAACGACAAATTTGACTATTTATATGATGAGCTTTCATTTCAAAATGGTGTTGATCTTGAACCTTCTGAATTTTTCCATTTATGACATAGAAAAAGAAGAAGTAGTCTTGACCTTTTCACATCCATGAACTTTTATATTGCTTATCATGTTTCACTACAGTATATTACAAAATTATTTTCTAAACTTTAAAATACCAGTTTATCAAATTATTTCAATATTTTTTCTATCTTTGAAAAAAACAAAATCCAAGCGCTGAAACAGTGTTTTTAATTTAGCATCCAAAAGGTAATGTATTTTTTGAAAATTAGTATCTAGTTATAGATAAATACATGTTGAGTATTTGCAAAGTCTGGATAGATCAGTTATATCACAAATAATATCATAGTAAACCGAGGCAAATGCAAGGTTTAAGACAAATCATAGTGTGACTTGAATTGATTAAGCGGTTGGTTGAGTGTAAACAAACTTAGTTTGGTGCATGTATATTTGTCTTAGTGGAGTTATCCTGGTAAAAAAAGTGTTAATTCATCAATTGTTATGGAAGGTATGGAACATACAATGTATTGCAAATTTCTAATGTTGTAATTTAAAATCTTCATTAAATAGGGATATGGGTGAAACTCTTCATCATCGTTTGCGGATTCAGTACGCGTATCAGCATTACAACACGCTTCTCTTTCTGGAAACAAAGAGGTTTAGTCTTAGCTTTTCTGTGTCATTTGGTCTCTTGTGGAGAGTTGTCTCATTGACAATCATACAACATCTTCTTTTTTTATTAGCTCTGCATAGGAAACACAAACGCCATGTGAAAACAAAGTTTCTATCAATGTTCGTGATCCATATTCCTATATTCATGATATAACTGCACGAACAGTCCCAAATGAATAGAGTAAATGTTGATTTTCATACAGAAACAATTGATTTTGTAACAGCCATATATTAACAAATTTTATCTTTAGGGACAACATACGCTTCAATTAATCAACAAATGAACTTTACAAGCGATGCGGGTATATTTTCCATAGAAGCACCTAACGAGGCTTCATTGAAACTAGGGTTGTCATTAGAGTAAATTGCAAGGTTTTCAATATCGCGCCTAAGAGCGCAAGCGGCAGAGTGAAGTAATCGATCTTCTTTTAATGTATTCTTGATATCTGCTGACACACCTTGGTGTAATTCTGAAAGTCTTAACATAAATTTGAATTTGCCTGCAGCAGATATGGTTTCCCCTGTAGTGAGCTCAGAGCTAAACTCTATATTTCACATCCCTTGTCCCAGCTGTGTCTGAATTCTAAGGTGACATAATAACTAATTAGTTTGTTCTGGTATTGGGCAGTATGGTAAGTATCAGAGACATTCTTGGGTAAAAGTGATCGGTATATGTCGAGGATGAGCTACATGAGAAAGGTCTTTTTATGGAAGAACTGATCATCATTAACAATCGTTATCAATGAATTGAAACCAAGTTCGTATTCTAATTCTTCAGTAACTTTTTTACCTGATTGCACAGGTGTTGACTTCAATAAGTACTTGATAATGCATGCTGAAAGGTAGCTTGCATTTGAAAATAAATATGTTCTCGCGATTTTGTTTACCATGGATAAATTATAACTCATATTAGCACACCTCAAAAGGCTGTCAACATGTTCAGGCGACTTGATTTTGTGTAGTTTATTTTCCCTTTTTAAGGTTTTGTTTTTACATAAAAACATGTCTTTATATCCAAACTACAAAGAATAAACTGAGCGCGAGATCGTATACAAGTGTCATGTTGTGAGGATACATGTGAATCAGATTGATAAAAAAATTGGCTTTCTGTTTCTATTTTAAAGACGCTACAATGTTGCCTTCTGGTGCAAGTCTTGTAACATCACTGATGATACACAACTCTTTCATCCAAGGAAAACAGAATAAGAACAGGAATAAAAGCCCTGTTCATTGATAATTTTCTATGTTTTCTATGTATCGTGTGCGATTTTGTCCCATGTACATTTACTCCATATCCTTTCATCTCCTTTCAAGAGAATTTAGT